AATGTGGTAGTGGTGGTTGTGGTGGAGGAGGAGGGAAAGCAATAGAAATGTGGTGGTGGTGGTGGTGGAGAGGGAGGGGGAGGGAAAACAATAGAAATGTGGAGAAGGGAGGAAAGTAATAAAAATGAGGAGAAGGAGGAGCAGGAGGGATAGGTAAGTAAAACATTGTTTTCCGTTCTAAAAAGAGCTAGTTTGCCTTCGCCCTCATTAATATGTAAGATTTGCGCGCCAAGAATCATTGAACCGGAATTAAGACAATCACAGCGGCAGAAAATAGAACTTGCATAACTACGTTAGAGCTCAGTGATTGTAAACCACAGGCGAGTTTGACTTTATTTCTTAGACGCCATGAATTAAACCTCGGACGTAAAAGGGGGGGTATATACCCCCTCTAAGTTTTTTCTGAGTTTCCCCTATAGGATAAAACATTAGCACCTGGCGAATTCAGTAGCTGTTTGTTCATCCCTCGCGCACATTTTGAGACAAGTTTAGTGATGGTCAGTTGCTGTTGTTACGAGACATGACGTCATAAGTAGCAGGTGGTCAAGCCATTTTTGGATAAAAATTCATGTTTTTTCAATTTGTTTCAACAACAAAAGTACATCTTGTGGCTAAAATTATGCAAAGTGCTTATTTATGTGTTATTTTTCATGTAAAGCACAACAAATTACCATTTCTCCTGGTTTTAACCCGATTTCTAATTTTTGGTAAAATCCAATACGGCGACCATTGTTGGTGACGCCACATGCCTCTAGCAGCGCCACAACCAATAAAATATACCTCATCTAGTTAAGAAGATCAAAGGCCTTCTACTAAACGTAAAATAGTTTTTCGAAAAACTGCAACATATCACAAACTCCGAGGAGGGGTTCCATCCAACCTCCCCCATCCTCCTGTACCACGATGGGGGTATGAAATTGCTTGCATGTCCGAGGGTTAACCAATGACAACGCTTCTCATTTTCTAATTAACCAATCGAAAACGAAGACATTTATCGACCTTAACGTGACTAGAAAACCTTAACCACCTGATAGTAGCACATGACTTTATTTTAACGAGATTCCTGCCAGTTTATTCATGAGATAAAAACAAAAGGCTATGACGTCATCGGCGTTAATGTATTCCACATACCGCAAATTAAAGAGATTCCAGCGCAAAAAGGCTAATTTCATCCCTCCCATACTACTACTACTACTACTACTACTACTACTACTACTACTACTACTACTACTAATAATAATAATAATAATAATAATAATTATAATAATAATAATAATAATTTAATAATTTCTAGAGCGCTATTTACATTCACTGATCAACAGCGTCTAACGACTTAAAAAAAACTACAATAAAATTAAAATTTGTAAAACTAGTTACATGTGCATGAATATTAACAATGTATATTAATAATAATAATATAGAATATTTACAATAATGATTATAAACTTAATTAGTAATACTAATGAAGTGAATGTCAAACAGGTTACGTTGTTAAAGCTGCACGAAATAAATAAGTTTTATTCAGCTTACATTTAAAAATAGCTAATGATTGAATATCACGTAATTCAGCCGGCAAACTATTCCATAAATATGGGGCAGCAGCAGAGAAAGATCTGTCACCTAACGTGTCAAGCATTTTCCCTTTAGGAGGGTCTAGCAATAAACTTTGATTTAATCTAAGATTATATATAGACCTAAGCTTAATGTTAATTAGTTCTATGATATACTTAGGCGCCAATCCATGAATAGCTTTAAACGTTAAAATTAAGATCTTAAAATGGACACGATGTTGTACTGGTAACCAGTGAAGTTGATAAAGCGCGGGAGAAATATGCGAGTACTTACTTAAGCTCAGTACAAGTCTAGCCTACTACTGTTACCAAGCTGAACATTAATTCTTTCCTCGAGAGCAACCTCATTACATTTTTACTAGGATAAAATGGTTTAATATAAGAAGTAATTATTGATCACCAATACGAATGATCTTTTATCAAATTCTCTCAACTAATTCTTTAAGGAAAGATATGAAGATCAGTCTGGAGAATTTGTATGTGGATAAGCGGATTAAACGGAAAGGTCATGCCATTTTACGAGATTATCAATATTTGTTACAATGTACCCTATCATTTGCCATTTAAAGACGTTTCTTTCATCATTTGTAGTTTAAAGCTCGTAGATGACAAAATAAGCAAAGTTACTGACAAAATTGAGATCCTGCCCCTTTAATAATGTTTTGTCGCTCCTCTAATCCCAAAAAAGTAGTCGTCAGATGTTTTATCCTTACTTTGAAAATATTTTAGCAAATTAAGGAAAACGAAAGTGGTAAGTCCGATAAAACCAATATGATACAAAAATGTGGCGAATCGCCTTTCTAAACTTTTCGTATCTTAATGCGTAAATTAAGGGATTCAATAATGAACTCAACAGTCCCGAAACCCTAACCCAGTCTGCGGCAGTTGCCAGAGACGAAGATCTCTTATATTTGTAAAATACATTTTCCATAACAAAACATGGTGTCCAACAGAGGGCAAAAACACCAACAAACAGGAACACTGAAAAAGCGATGTGCCTTTCACGCGCACGAATGTTTTCGGAAAGATTCTCACTGCCTAACAATCTTTGACTCTCTGAAATAGAAAAATCGAGATCTTGCCGAATCCATCTCCGCACCAAGAAAAATATCCGTGAGTATATAAGAAACATGAGGGCCATGACTGGAAATCCGATTGCGTCGGTGATTATGAGCCTGTATTCTACCTGGTTGCATTTATTCAGAAAAGAAAGCAGTGCCACGCACAGGGAAATCAGCCATATGTAGACAATGACCAGTCTTAAGTGTGAGTGAATCAGGTATTCGTGGCTTTTAAGTGGCGCTTCGACCATGATGTATCGCTCAAATGCAAGTGTTAGTATAGTCAAGGCTGATGCTACCATGGACGTATACAGCGAAGTGTAGGCCACATAGTACAAATCATATGATTCATAAAAGTGAGATAAACCCAGCAACAGCTCGCTTGGAATACCTACGATTAGGTCACATACCGCCAGATTCAAGATGAGGTAGTTTGGAATAGTCCTCAGCTCACTGAACGGGTCCTTTACGATTGCGATCACAACCAAAGAGTTTCCAAAGACGGTGAGGAAAGACAACAAAAAGGCTATGGCTGCTACGCCGACAGGAACCTCTTTAACAAGAACACAGTCCCATGGAATACCGGTCGAGTTCTCTGTAGATGCTTCTTGGTTTTCCATGTAACCTGCGTAGAAATGTGTCAGGTAAATAATTCCGCTGACTGGTCTACTTACAAAAACCTTAAACACCAAGTGAGAAAGTTAATAAGAGCAGCGGAGAGCGAATTTGTCGAGGATCAGATTCAAAATAATCCACGAAATACAAATTGTATTTGGAAGGCAATTCGCCTTTGTCTCCCTAAAATATCTGTTACCCCAAAAGTAGATAGCAAAGATGGCAAGACCGTGGCGGATGATTTTAACAACTTTTCTGCATCAGTCGGAAAATCTACAAATTCTAAAATTGAATCTTTGGCTGAAGAGCACAGCTTCGTTCTTCATGAAAACGCTTTTACCCCTAGAGGTTTTCCTACTAGTTAGCAATTTACATTTAATTATGCTAATTGTAAACAACTCGCGGACGTCATAAACGCAATGCCTTCTAATACGGCTCCTGGGATTGACAAGGTGCCGACTCGAGTCCTTAAGGACAGCCTGTTGATCACACTCCCTTTAATCAGTTAATCATCAATGCTTCTCTTTTAGCTTCAACATTCCCAGAGGTCTGGAAAACTGCCGAAATTACACCTATTCCCAAACAAGGCAACCACGAACTTCCTAACAATAACAGACCGATTTCCCCGCTACCTGCATTGTCAAAGGTTTGCGAGAGAGTGGCTTATAAACAGTTTGTCACCTATTTGACAACCAAGGAAAGGCTTACCACAAAACAAAGCGGCAACAAAAAATGGTTCTCTACTGAGACATCCTTAATTCATACAACTGATGCATTTTTCAAAGGAATTGATGATAAGAAATTGACTGTCTACGTGCTTTTAGATATGGGTAAAGCCCTCGACATCGTTGACCACCAAATATTGTTACGTAAAATACAAAGCGTCTGCACCTCAACCAGCGCGCTAAAATGGTTTAACAGCTACCTTACAAATAGATATCAAGTTGTACGAATTCATAGTTCTGTTTCTGATCCTATTCCAGTTGAATATGGCGTTCCACAAGGCAGTATTCTAGGCTACCTAGTATTTAAGATATGTGACCCTCCACAGGATTTTAATGGTTAAGGTGAAAGCACGCGCACGACACGCTTTCACTTTAAAAAAAGAATTTATTTTAACACGCTTTAGCACGCTTGCAATCTTGCCTCATTAGCAATTTCTTTTGTTTCAGAGGTCAAGCCTGTGACAATTAAGCGAGAGCAAGTCGAACAAAAGAGTGTGTTAAAGTTTTCAAACAAAAGCTCTGTGCGAAAGAGCACAACACGCTTTCAGTGTGCGCAAAAGCACGCAAGGCGTGTTATCTATAAGCTAAACAAAATTTCTTCTACAATAAGGGACCGTAAATGATTATGAACGGCACCCTTTTTTGGTAACTATCGTGAAAGAAAAAGTTCTACCTCAGCGATCGCAGCGATAGTATCTGATTGAAAAAAAATTGTCGCTTGAAAAGTATAAACAGTGAAAGGTGGCACCTACTGGATTTATGGGTAGAACTTTATTAGCATTGCAAAATCAAAGTTATTTCCAGAAATGTTTACTGACGAAGCTGTGCAAAGGTTATCTTAACTTTCCTTAATTTAAAAAACAATTGCAATTTTCTCAGAAACAGTGATCTTTCAGACTTAAGTCACTTTCTCGCCAGTCGCAGCAATCGCAGCTATCAAAATAGAAATCAAAGTGCCAGGATCGCTAAATTGTTTTTTTTTTTTTTTTAGCGATTGCAAGGATCGTAGTGATCAAATGAAAACCAGCCCGCTTTTACAGAAGTACCAAAATTCCTTGGCGATCTTGGCGTGATTTTGGATCCGAACTTAACATTTGATAACCATATAATGAACTCAGCGTTGGCTTACATAGCGTGCAGATCGCGTTTACTTGGCCCAGTTTGTAACGAATCTCTTTTTATGCAAAAATTGGCATTATGTACGGAATCAGAAGTCGTTTTACATGATGACAAGCTTACAAACCCGTTTATGGTTTAATAAGAATGTTAGAATATTGCAGGCCGTTCAAAACTTTGCTTGCCGAATCGTCAGCGGTGCGAAAAAATATGATCATGTAATACCCCTTTTAAAAAGCCTGTCTTAATTTGGCTGCTTGTTAAGGACCAACTGTACTATCGCTTAGCTATTATGGCCTTCAAATGCATGACCGGTCAAGCCCCTGAATATCTTACATCCCAATTTATTACCCGTGAGCAAGTTAGCGAACGAACAACTCGGAGTGGCCAAAAGCTAAACATCCCTCTTTTCAGAACTGCCTCCGGACAGAGAACCTTTTATTACAGGACTGTTAAACTTTGGAACAATTTGGAATCTTTTCTTAAGTTAAGCCCATCTGCTGAAATTTTTAAACGCTCCTTAAGGGGCCAGCTTTTAGATAATTTTGTAAATACCTCTTAGTTAAGTTTAAAACATTGTAATAAGTAATTAGCAGGGAAGGATAAAGGGGACAGAGAAGGCATCACCCATACACACCCTATTCCATAGGTAATTCGTCTCGAGTTATTTTTAGAATCGGGATACAGTTACCTCGCGCGCTGCGTGGATGTTTCGTGGAGGTTTGGCATGACTAAACGCCGTGCAAAACATGTCGGGCGAAAGGCAATGAAAGCGTAAAGAGATCGAGAACATTTGTGAATATTGAAGCGAAATGAGTCGGCGCTCACCTGGGAAAGGAAATCGCTGGACTCTTTGACAACCCGTGAAATCAGTTTAACTCGAAGTTGTCGTAACCTCAGTGCTTTAATAAAATGAGAAATTTCGCCAGTCTACTGAAACCGGTCGTTTGTACAATAAAGCAAGTAGGACGCCAAGTGTTATTCCTGTTGAATAATAAAAGACGAATAAAAGGATAAATATCAAACCAGAAACTGCTCTCTTCGAACTGTAAATTATAGATGATCCTAAGAGAATATTCAGTGTGTTAAGGATTTCCCTGCTGGACTGTTAGCTTTATATAAGAGAGGAAGGGCGATTCTTTTTTAATTTCCGTTTCGCTGACACAGCTTTAGCGGAAATCTCTCTTTAGTCGTTTTGGTCGACAAAACGAATAACAATATCGCTCTCCGCGTCTCCCGCCATTTTTTCAGCGTCAATTCGTGAAAGACGCGTGGCTCTGAGCGTGGGTCATCCACGCGGAACACATTCGCGCTATGTGATTGACTGTTGTCTAATCCCCCTCGGGATCTGTGGTCTTAAAAATAACTCGAGACAAATTACCTATGGAATTGGGTGTGTATGGGGGATGCCTTCTCTGTCCCCTCTATCCTCTCTTAGTAATTAGCTAACATTGTAGTTAGTATTAGATTAAGTGTTGTAATTAGTTTTTATAAATAATGTAATATAATTATTGTTCCTGAAAAGCCCCTTTGGGGAGGTAACAATAAAGTATGTATGTATGTATGTAAATATATCAAGATCAAATAAAATCTTACACTTGGCGAATGAATTTAAGAAATGGGTTGGAAATATGTGGTGAAGTGAAACAGTTAATTTCTTCGTTCTTTAAAATTCACCAGAACGCTTTAGCTTGCGCGGATTCTTTTACAATATAGGTCATGTGATAATACACTAGAGAAGTGTTTCACTCAAATTTCCTCTTATTCACGTGCATATGAACGCATAATTTATTTAAAACGGGTTAAATTCCCCATTGGTAAACTGACAAAAGCTGTGAAACGATTTTCTTGCTGAAAATAGTCATAGTCAAGCTTTGAGCCAAGGTTGTAGATAAGCTGCTATCTTTTTTTATGACATTTATATTGTTCAATTCACCCGACTAAGGCGCGTCCATTCACTAGCAGTTTTATTAACCTCTAGAGGCATCTCCTACTGATTTAAACCTCCGCTGTTTATAAATACTCTCGTCCCACGTAAGGGAATCCAAGACAGTCTTGGGTTCTGGATTCCTCACCGTGGATTCAAGATTCTTGGATTCCGGATTCCAATCGTTAGTTAGGTTCTGCATTCCTTAAGCTGTATTCCAGATTCGAAAATCCAGGATTCCGGATTCCACAAATCAAATTTTCTGGATTCCAGATTCCACAACCAAAAATTTCCCGATTCAGGAATCCGGACTCCCTTACATGGGACGAAATAGTAATATAAATACGGCATTTAACATGGCGCCTAACAAAGCTAAAACATGTACCAGCATGTAGACTAAAAATGTTACATATATACAACGGCCAAAATCCTTCCCAAATTCCCTGTCTATGTTCACCCTATACCTGATAGTGGTGCTATTCTCACGTAGAAGACTGTAAGAACGGGGATTTCAGCGCGAATTCTGTAACGGAGCGATTTCCACGCCGATTTCTAAACGTTTAGACCCAAGCCAAATTTAGAAGGATTTGTATGGAGTCATCAAAGCATAACTGGGCTAATATCTCAGAGACAATTTGCCCTACAATGCTAATTTTTGGCAAGTAGGCGTCGTGCTGTTCTATCAGAATATTTTGACAAATCCCATAATTTCACAAATTTAATTTTTAGGACGTCATGACTTTAGAACTCTATATGCGGATAGCGTTTTGTGTCGGCACGGAAAGCTATCCGGTGCAGTGTCAACATGGCTGAGACATCTGAGTCATCTGAGGTCACGAGAGTAATTCTTCGGCGAACGGAAAGCTTCCTTCGAGGGTCACATCAAATTGAGCTTTCAAAGTAACAGTAAAAACTTGAATACCAGAAATCACACAGAACTGAAAATTGACGTGAGTTTTGACAAAAATCATCTGCATTGACTTTAGATTGACTTGATTTTTCGATCCGGTTCAAATTTTATTTCGTTGGCGTGAACGTGCAAATTGACCGGCTGGAGCTTCTTAAGCGGTGTCTTTTTTTGGTATTGTCTTATTCCTTTCAGCCTCCATTTATTAAATCCCAGCGTCTGTTCATGAAATATTTCGAAAGTGTGTAATTTTTTCTTAACTAGGGCACCTGAATAAGTTACAACGATCGTGTCTGTTACCAGCATGGCGACCTTTTAGAGCGCACATGG